CTAGGATGTGCAGTGTGCTACAATTGTGCTATAACTGTATGGCATTAAGCCACAATTGGGAGCAGAGTGTTACCAATAGATCTGAGTGACTCCAATTAAAATCTCCACTCAGCTACAGAATTCACTGGGTACCCTTGTATCACTTACAAGATCACTAAGGCCCCTTCCAAACAGTTGTATAAAATCCACACTGAACTGGATTATATGGTAGTGTGGACTCAGATAACTCAATTCAAAATAGATATTGTGGATTATTCGCCTTGTTATTCTGGTTTATATGGCTGTGTGGAAGGCCCTAAATTTCAGGATAAAACTGGGGAGAAACGAAAAACAGCTGGAAAGAAGCAGAAGGCACAAATATGACCATTAGTAAGTTAAACAGATACAAGTACTTTATGAAAGGAAGACGATAAACTCCTGCTCTAAAATTCTTCTTGACAGCTGCTTAAGACATACTGATTTGCTTACACATTCATTACTTCTGTGCATCAAAGACTTTTCAAAGACTGCGTACATCCCAAAGTGGCCTCTTGGGCATCCATCATAAGCAATGCAATACACTTTTTACACAAAAATTACAGGCCTGTAAGAAAACCAGGTGGCACAAAGTATCCCCAGGCCACATATCTGCATTTAGGAATATAACCATCAATACTACTTAGTATTTTAGCAGTGGCTGACTCCTAAAATTAGAGGATCAGTCTGGGACATCACTTCAAAAGTTGAGATTACAGAGGAAGACAAGATGAGTTGATATTTGCCTTTTATTCCCTCCCCATTGAGCGATGTATATTCCATATATTATTTATTTATTATATTTATATCCCAACTTTCTCTACTCTGGAGGCCAGGAGAGAGGGGGCTGATCTAACTTCACTGCGTAGGGAGTTCCACAGCTGAGGGGCCACCACTGAGAAGACCCTGTCTCTCATTTCCACCAATCACATCTGCAAAAGAGGTGAGACCTAGAGCAGGGCCTCCCTGGACAATCTTAAACTCTGAGATGGTTCATAAGGGGAGATCCGTTTGCACAGGTAAGCAGGACCCGAACTGTTTAGGGATTTATAGGCTAAAGCCAGCACTTTGAATTGTGCTCGATAGCAGGCTGGCAGCCAGTGGAGCTGAAGTAACAGAGTAGTTGTATGCTCCCTGTACGCTGCTCTGGTGAGCAATCTGGCTGCCACCCGTTGGACCGCTTGGAGCTTCCAAACAGTCTTCAAAGGCAACCCCACGTAGAGCATGTTGTAGTAATCTATTTGAGATGTAACTAGAGTATGGACCACCATGACCAAGTCTGACTATTACACTAACTTGTGACTCTTAAGAACTGTGATTTCTTCTGTTGGTTTCAAATTCTTTTGTCGTACTAATATTTCAGGGTTTCGGGTATTTAAGGGCTGGCTTAAGCACAACAGGTTAATCAAGAATCACTTCGAGTCCCCCTCGGGGTGAGAAAAGCGGTATACAAATACTGTAAATAATAAATAAATAAATAAATAAATAAATAAATCACCACCTGCAATTGCAGTAAAACTTGCCAACCAAAAGGTTGACCTTTTGAAATTGGGTCAGGGTGAGCTCCTGACCTTCAAGTCAGCTCTCCACCCACCTAGCGGATCGAAAACAGCAATGTGAGTAGATGAATAGGAACCACATTAAGTGGGGAGGTATTTTAGGTATGGCATTCAGAGGAAAGTTTACAAACAAAGAAAGCACTTTGGCAAGGAGATGGAGCGACATCACCCCCTGTGGTTGGAACCGAGCACAGCCTCCAATGATGCTAAATGAAGAGGAAAAGTCTATATATAACTGTATCTGTTGCCATTGTAAAATTGGCAATGAATGTTTGCCATATATCTGTTCTGTGATCTGCCCTGAGTCCCCTTTGGGGTGAGAAGAGCAGAATATAAGTACTGTAAATAAACAAATAAATAAATAAATTTTCCCCAAGCTCAACCTCCAACTCTATTTGACCTGGGGAGTCACCCACCCTTTAGCTTAGAGAAGGAGCTCCGTCCACAGCAAGGCTGCCAGCTTCAGCCCAAGCATTTGTAGGCAAAACTGGGAAAGCTTTTTGTTTGAAAACTCAAGCTTCAGGAGGAAAGATGGAGAAGACCAAGTCCACTGATGGCCTGATTTTCTGCATACAGTGCTCTAAAACTTCCTGATACATTCAGAAGACAGTGCTTGAGATGGCAGGTAACTTTTAATTTGTAACAAGGTAGAAAACACTGAAGGGATCCAGCAAGGTTAGCCTTCGGCAGCAACAGAAAATAAATATATGAAAGCAGCTTTCAAATATTGTCAATGGCTTTCATGGCCAGATCAACTAGGTTGTTGTGAATTTTCTGGGCTGTATGGCCATGTTCCAGAAGCATTCTCTCCTGACTCCACAACTTCTGAGGATGCCTGCCATAGGTGCGGGGATTGTTTTTTTTTCATGTCAGGAGTGACTTGAGAAGCTGCAAGTCACTTCTGGTGTGAGAAAATTGGCCATGTGCAAGGACATTGCTCAGGGGATGCCTGGGTGTTTTTGATGTTTTACCATCCTTGTGGGAGACTTCTCTTATGTCCCCACATGGGGAGCTGGAGTTAACAGATGGGAGCTCAACCTGCTCAAACCTCATTCGAACCACTGACCTATCAATCAGCAGTCCTGCCAGCAAAAAGCATGACATGCAAGTGAGGAGAAGAGCAAACCGCAGACCACCTACAACAATGCAACCTGAGCCCTGCCACATGCACAATGGAGGACCTTTTTATAGCAACACCAGAGGCACTCCAAGTGGCCAGCTACTGGTCAAAGGACATTTAATAGAATGCAAAGACATTGCCCGGGGATGCCCGGATGTTTCTGAAGTTTTACCATCCTTGTGGGAGACTTCTCTCATGTCCCCGCATGGGGAGCTGAAGCTGACAGAGGCAGCTCATCCATGCTCTCCCCGGATTCAAACCCCGGTGGCACAAGGTTTAACCCATTTCGCCACCGGGGCAATGACATGAAGCCTCCTTGCAGGATTGCAAGACATCCGGGCGTCCCCGGGCAACGTCTTCGTAGACGGCTGATTCTCTCGCCTCAGAAGCAACCAGAAGCGACTTGGGTCTGGTTGCTGATGACACGATAAATAAATACCGGGGGCTCAAGTGTGGGTGAAACATCAGGAGAGAATGCTTCTGGAACATAGCCATACAGTATGGAAAACTCACAACAACCCAGCTTTCAAATATCTAATGAGTTGCTATCAAAAGAGGATGCTGAACTATTCAGCAGGGAATCTGAGATGCAAATAATAAGTCACTCTGAACTGGATAGCTGAGGAATGTCAGGCAATCTATTTAGGAAATCAGAGCAATCCCTTGGAGAGATCTGCTGATGAATCCATCCATCAGCGGAACCTGGAAACATTATTTAGACGACAGCTCTGAACTCACCCACCCACCAAAGACATTATGGCCACTAAAGGATGTTGAAACTGCAGTCTTTAAAAGAATTAATATTTGCCAGCTCTACCATTCAAGGAGTTTAAGTCTACAGCAGGCATGGGCAAACTTGGGCTCTTCAGATGTTTTGGACTTCAATCCCCACCCTTCCTAACAGCCTCAAGCCCTTCCTTTTTCCACTCAGCCGCTATATGAATGCAGCCCAATTCCACTTTAACTGCCAGGGCTGTGAAATCCTGTGCTCTGTAGTTTGGTGGGGCACCAGCACTCTTTGGCAGAGAAGGCTAACGACCATGTCAAACTACAGCTCCTGTGGTTCCATAGCATTGAGCCATGCCAGTTAAAGTGGTGTCAACTCTATTAACTCTGTGATGTAGATATGTGAGGTATAGCCAAACTTGGGCCCCGCAGGTGTTTTAGACTGCAACTCACACAATTCCTAACAGCCTCAGGCCCTTTCCTTTTCCCTCTTAAGCAGCTGAGGGGGGAAAGGGAGGGGCCTGAGGCTGTTAGGAATGGTGGGAGTTGGAGTCAAAAACACCTGGAGGGCCCAAGTTTGCCCATGCCTGAGATATACAAGGGTTGAATGAAAAGTAATACTTCCATTTTCATAACTCCTCAACAGATGGCAGTACTGGTATATGGCAGGTACTGGCTTGTTCAGTAGACTCTCCTCTACAGTTCCATTTTGTCGGGAAGCCTTAGCATTGAACGGTTGTGTTGTTAAAGTGCAAAGTATGGAACCCTGGGCAGACGTTCGGTCAATGCGACTTAAGCAACATGCAGTCATCGAATTCTTGACAGCAGAAGTTGTCACCTCAACATCTTTAACCGTACTCACCCAACGACGCACAGTACTCACAACAACACAATCACCATAAACAGCTTGCATTCTCTCCTTTGGGGTGACACCTTCTGCTGTCAAGAATTCAATGACTGCACGTTGCTTAAGTCACATTGACGACCGTCTGCGCAGGGTTCCATACTTTGCACTTTAACAACACAACCGTTCAATGCTAAGGCTTCCTGCCAAAATGGAACTGTAGAGGAGAGTCTACTGAACAAGCCAGTACCTACCGCATACCAGTACTGCCATCTGTTGAGGAGTTACGAAGGTGGAGGCATTACTTTTCATTCAACCTCGTACATCCCACTTTGAGACAGAAGAATCTCAGGAATGCCACCTTCTCACCTTACAAAAAATGCCCAGTCTCTCTCTCACTCACTCACTCTCTAGCGCCCCCTGCAGTAAATCTCATGGACGTTCCAGAAAGACCACTCACCAACACGTCTCTCTCTCTGTTTTCTGCCCTTGCGATGCAAAAGGGAGGAATGGAAAGAGCCCTGGCTTCCAGGTATCAGCATCCCTCTCCCCAAAGTTTAGCCCTTCTCCCGCTCATCCCTTGGTTTCTCTATATGTGAAAAGGGGGTAACTACATGATCCCCATCCGCAGCTATGCTAAGGGGGAGTGGGAGCCCTCCGCCGCCTCTGTGGCGCTCCGTGGGGGTCTTCTCCTCCTCGTCCTCCTCCTCAGCCCTCTCTTCCTTTCTCCCTTCTTTCTCCGGCAGGTGCCCGTCCTTCCCCGGAGCCCCTCACTCACCTGGGCCGCCTGGAAGGGAGCGTGGAGAGAGAGACGCTGGACGCCACGAGGGACGGGACCAGGACCCCGCCGTGGGTCTGGCGCAGGTACAGGATGCGAAGGAAGGCGGGAGAGAGTCAATGAGGGGCGCGAAGGCAAGGCTTGGGCGGCTGGCCTGGACTCAGAGGAGCCGGAGCAGAGCGCGCCGCATTTAAGGATGCTGCGGGGGGGGGGGGGAGGGAGACTCGCGTGGGGCTCGGAGGCCACGGCCCCCCCTCCCCGGGCCCCCCCCCCCCCCCCGCCCCCCCCCAACCCTCCCCTAGGACGAAACTAAAGGTAGTCCCGAGAAGAACAAGGGTAAGTGTCCCAAGAAGAACAAGGGAAGAGCAAAAGAAGGTCTTGTTTGCTCTTCACTCTGGAGTTCGATGGAGCCAAGCAGCCAAAGGGGGAAACAATGCTCTGCTGTTTGTCTGTTTGTTTGTTGTTTTTCATGTCAGTAGCGACTTGAGAAACTGCAAGTCGCTTCTGGTGTGAGAGAATTGGCCATCTGCAAGGACGTTGCCCAGGGGACTTTTCTGATGTTTTACCATCCTTGTGGGAGGCTTCTCTCACGTCCCCGCATGGGGAGCTGGAGCTGACAGGGGGAGCTCATCCGCGATCTCCCCGGATTCGAGCCTCCGATCTGTCGGTCTTCAGTCCTGCCGACACTGCGCCATCGGGAGCTCCTATTATGTTATTGTGCTCTTAATATGTTATTATGCTATTATTATGCTATTATTATGCCCTGAAATCTGCACAAGGAGCCGATTTCAGTCTCTAGACACCACCTGGGGTTTCTTTCCAGCCAAAAGTTTTCCTTCCAGAGAACTTGGAAGAACTAACACCTCTGGCTAGATCTCCGTTGTACAGCAGATGCAGTTTGACACTGCTTTCATTGCCCCTGGCTCAGTATTGTGGAATCGTGAGAGTTGTAGTTTCGTCACATGCAACTCCTGGAACAATTCCATCAGCGTTGCCTCCGAAAAATCCTGCAAATCTCTTGGGAAGACAGGCGGGGAAATGTCAGCATGCTGGAAGAAGCAAAGACCACCAGCATTGAAGCCATGGTCCTCCGCCATCAACTCCGCTGGACCAGCCACGTTGTCCGGATGCCCGACCACCGTCTCCCAAAGCAGTTGCTCTACTCCGAACTCAAGAACTGAAATGGAATGTTGGTGGACAGGAAAAGAGATTTAAAGATGGGCTCAAAGCCAACCTTAAAAACTCTGGCATAGACACTGAGAACTGGAAAGCCCTGGCCCTTGAGCGCTCCAGCTGGAGGTCAGCTGTGACCAGCAGTGCTGCAGAATTTGAAGAGGCACGAATGGAGGGCGAAAGGGAGAAGCGTGCCAAGAGGAAGGCGCATCAAGCCAACCCCGACCGAGACCGCCTTCCACCTGGAAACCAATGCCCTCACTGCAGAAGAAGATGCAGAGCAAGAATAGGGCTCCACAGCCACAGACGGATCCACAAGAATATTGGAAGACAATCATCCTCGGGAAACGAGGGATCGCCTAAGTAAGTAAGTTTGGTGGGGCTTCTTCTTCAGGACACACTGACAGAGAAGGCTCCAGTTCATCAAACTGATCCATGGCGTTCTACAGTGTGTAGATCAGGCCTAGGCAAACTTGGGCCCTCCTTCCAGGTGTTTTGGACTTCAACTCCCACCATTCCTAACAGCCTCAGGCCTTTTCCTTATTTATTTATTTATTTATTTATTTATTATTTGCTACATTTATATACCACCCCTCTCAGCCCAAGGGCGACTCAGAGCGGTTAACAATAGGCAACAATTTGATGCCATTTTCCTTTTCCACCTCAGCCGCTTCAGCGGAAAGTTAAGGGCCTGTGGCTGTCAGGAATGGTGGGAGTTGAAGTCTAAAACATCTGGAGGGAGGGCCAAAGTTTGCCCATGCTTGGCGTAGATGCACCCTCAAAGAGTGCAACAGCAAGTCCAATCTCGGAAGGAGCCCCCTGTGGCACAGTGAGTTAAACCCTTGTGCCGACAGGACTGCTGACCGACAGATCAGCGGTTCAAGTGCAGTTTGAGCAGATTGATCTCCCGTCTGTCAGCTCCAGCTCCCCATGCGAGGACATGAGAGAAGACTCCCACAAGGATGGTAAAAGATCAAACATCTGGTCATCCTCTGAGCAACATCCTTGCAGACGGCCAATTCTCTCACACCAGAAGTGACTTGTAGTTTCTCATGTTGCTCCTGACATGAAAAAGAATCTCAGAAGAAAGGCAGGATATGAGTCAAATATTTAAATAAAAGAATACACAAGTACATGACATCATAAAAGGCCCACTTTTATGTTAGAAGTAGGTGCTTTGAAATATTTTTCCAGCTGTTCTGAAATGTATAGGTGTTAACAGACACTTAGAGAGTCAGCACTGTGTAGTGTTTTCAGCACTGGATTATGGCTCCAGACTAGGCCAGGCTTCTCCACTCAGCTGTGGAGACCCACTGGGTGACCTTTGGCAAGTCACACACTCAAGACTCAGGAAACTTAATAAGAGGTTCGCCTTTTATTGTGTGCCTTCAAATTATTTCTGACTGATGGTGACTAGGGTTTTTTTTTCTGGTGTAGAGTGTGTGTGTGTCTTGCTCAGAGTCCCCTAGTGCGTTTACTTTTCATAGTTGAGTAGGGAATAAAACCTGGTCTCTAGAGATGCAGTTCAGCACTCAAACTGCTACACCACATTGGCTCATAGAGGCTGGATCTACACTGCTCCATATTCCAGGATCTGATCCCAGATTATCTGATTTGAACTGGATTATATGAGTCTCTACACCAGTGGTTCCCAACCTGTGGTCCCCAAGAACAAGAATATGGTCTGCAGGGTCACCATTGCCTTGAAACCATATGGCAACAAGAGCAACTGATCTTGCAAAACCTTCTTATAGTGCCAAGGTAACAGGGATGTCAGGAGGGGAGAAGCTGACTACCCATGAAAGATTACTTCTACCACATCAGCTCTAGGTTATTAAATATAGTTTTCTGTGGGTGAGCAGATGATGACTACTGGATGGCATATGTTCTGTATCAGAAACTGGACCTGATGTAGTCTATCCAATGCAATTTTCTGAATCAGCACCACAAATAACCAAGCCAAATCTAAAGTTGACTAAATACTCATTCATAACCCTTTTGGTACTAATGCTAGAGAGTGGTCCTTGGTCAAAGTGGTCCCGGCCCAAAAAAAGGTTGGGAACTACTAGTCTACATTCCCAAATAATCTGGGATCAGATCCTGGGATATAGGATGGTGTAGATCCAGCCAGAGTTATCATAAGTCAGAAACAACTTGTAGATACACAACATCAGATAGATCCATACATTTTCAAACTCTAATCTGCAGCCTTTTAAATCATCCTGAAAGGCTGACAGGTTGATTAAAGGGCACCATGAGTTTCGCTGAATACATATTGTTTACTTCCACATGAATATAAGAATCAGATCAAAAGCCTATCTACTAGGCATTCCCTTCTTCACCAACTGGCAATTTCACTGCCCTTTTCACAGCCCATCAAAAACTGCCCATTCCCCTGGGTCTTCTCTTTTAAGGTACAATACAAAAGAGGCAATTTTCACAAATGCAACTTCACTATGAGTGTGTGTGCAGGGAGTGGGCAGAATGCAGGCTTTGGCCCAAGCAATGAGAATTGTCCCTCCCCAGATAAAAAAAATTCTTCCATTCCTGCAGTGAAGAGTTAATACCTAAAGGTCTTATATTTATTGTGTTCATATTCTCTTGGTAATTTTGCTTTCCCCTTTTCTTTGTATGCCTGAACTATAATTGCCTGCTAACCCCCGAAATAACGAGACCACACAACAGTATTTGGATTTGAAATATGGGCAACTTTTATTAATTGTTACCTGTTTAACTTTGACTGTATCTCAATTTTATGTATCTCAAGTACCAAAAGGGTTATGAATGAGTATTTAGTCAACTTGGTGGCAAAGCGGAGGTACCGTCTCTGTCCGGACTACCTCTGGGCTAGTAAGGGTAAAACACCCGGGTCCCCTATACACCCAACCCATGTAACCTCAGAAGGAAATGTGTAGGAGAAGTCCCTCTCGGAGTATCCGAGACCATAATCTCTCTATTTTTAGGCCATTATAATTCTCTTCACCTAATCAAATTGAACCTTAGGTGAGTGTTTTAGTTAATGGCCTTCACCCCTGAAGGGTGTGTCTTGGGCGTACACCAAATTATTAGCTTTTCTGAATTATTTATTGCCACGGATTGGGGGCAGATGTCTATTTTGCCCCCATCCAAAAAACAGCCTCTAATCACCACACGTGTTGGTAAAATCAGAAAGATGGATGGATACCATCTGTCTTGAAAATTGGGTCTTGTAACTGGTCAAAACACTATGTAGCCAGCGAGCCCCCTTTTTACTTGGGTCGTCACCAAAAAAAAAAAAAAACACCTGGCTCCCCTCTTGATGTAACCAGCTTCTGGACATCACCACCAACATTCCACCCAGGGCAAGGAATCATTGATGACCGGGACATCTCAAAACGGTCTCCCAACACCACACATGTTGGTAAAATCAGAAAGATTGATACCATCTGTCTCAATTCAAGCCACTGTGTAGCCAGTGCGCCCCCTTTATCTTGGGTCAGCACAAAAAACACCTGGCTCCCATCTTGATTTAGCCAGCTTCTGGACATCGCCACCAACATGCCACCCACGGCAAGGAATCGATGACCGGGAATCTCCAAAACAGCCTCCAATCACCAAACGTGTTGGCGAAATCAGAAAGATGGATACCATCTGTCTCAAATCGAACCACCGTGTAGGCAATGAGTCCCCTTTTTCTTGTGTCTGCACAAAAAACACCTGGCTTTCATCTTTATTCAGCCAGCTTCCGGACATCACACCATCATGCCACCCACGGTGGCATGCTAACTCACAACCACCGCTGTAGTCAGCCCCGTGACACACATTCACCATCCAGCTTCACTCTATGTCGGAGTGAGGAACCTTTGACAAGATAACAATGTTTAGTTATAATAAATCAGTCACTGTCTAGGTGAACGCTAATTTTTTTTAATGA